CCTGATCTATTAAAGGAATAATTCACAGAATAATAATTCTGTTAACCTTTCTTTCTTCTGTGGAGCACAAAAGAAGATATTTTGATAAGATAACTCTTTTTCTCTATAGGCCGTGTGTTGTGATGACTTTGTCCACTGCTGTCCTAACGGTACGACATGTAACGTTGCTGCTGGGTCTTGTGACGAACCTTCAGGCTCTAAGCCTTGGTTCGAGAAGCTGCCTGCTCTCCCTAGAGCAGGTCAAAAGTCACCTGGGAACGTGAACTGCGACTCTAGTCACGTTTGTCCTGATTCCAACACTTGCTGTAAGAACATTGATGGAGACTGGGGCTGCTGTCCTTTGCCTGAGGTACAGTATATCTCAGAGGAGAAATCTAATCTTGCATGAGTAACCAAATGAGAAAATACACACTCTGTTTTCAACTTTGAATTTTATTACTCTTGGTGATATCCCTCAGTCCCTCTTTCACAATATTCTTCAAGTGCTCAGCAACATTTAATTGAGAAACCAAACTGTCGCAGACCTATTTTCAGAGAATTACCCTATAGCTTGAAAGTTTGGGGTTGGTAAGATTTTTTATTGCCTTTAAAAAAAGTATTTTACACTCACCAACGATGCCTCTGTTTGATAAAAAAGTTAAGTATAAAAAATACTATTGCGAAATAGTACAATTTAAAACGGTTGTTTTTTATTTTGAATTACTTTAAAAGGTAGTTTATTTCTGTGATGGCAAAGTCAGTGTCACATGATTCTTCAGAAATCATGCTAATATGCTGTGGTTTGTGATTTGGTGCTTTATTATTATTTTCAATGTTGAAAACAGTTGTGCTGCTTAATATTTTTTGTGGAATACATGATACATTTTTAAAGGATTCTTTGATGAGTTTTGAAGTCTGAAAGAACAGCATTTATTTAAAACAGATTTTTTTTTGTAACAATATAATGTATTTATTGCACCTTTTGTTCAATTTGATGCATCTTTGCTGAATAAAATTGTATTTATTTAAAAAAAATCGTATTGACCCCAAACATTTGAATGGTAGTGCAAATAAGTTTATTTATTTTCATAAGCACATCTTTTTTTTAAAGCATAAACCGTAGTACATTTATATTAGATTTATTAAAAACTCAATAAAAAAAGAAAACGCTTTAATATTCTATATATATTTTGCTACAAGTATGTTTATCTTGTAACATAAGATAACCCCCCCCCCCAAAAAAAAACCCAAAAGGCACTAAGCTACTAAATATAACTAAAAGTCAGGTTGTTCTGTCTGCAGGCTGTGTGTTGTAAGGATAAATTCCACTGCTGTCCACACGGCACCACTTGTGACTTTGTAACACTGACCTGCACTAGCAACACCACATCTGTACCTATGACAGACATTGACCTACCCTCAGCTAAGGAGGAACAGAGACAGCACAGGGAAGTGAAAGACAGAGTGGGGAAGTACAATAGCAGGGTTCTGTGTGATTCACAATCTTCCTGTCCAGATCACACTACTTGCTGTCTTGTTGCAAAAACCAACAAATGGGGCTGTTGCCCTCTACCTAATGTGAGTGTGACTCTGTTATATACAACACAGAGATGTTTATTTGTGCTAAACATCTTCTAAATTCTCACGCAAAGCCATGTTCTGCAGGTTGTTGTTTTACTAAACTACCTGTTTTTCTGGTTGTATCATCATGATATCGAACTATTAAGAAGGCCCTTTGTTTTGAGCATATATATAGTTCCAGGTACTTCCGTGTGCGTGCAACACAGATGCAAAGTCCTCACGGACTCGAAAATAGATACAAAGTACAGTACTGTTTAAAAATTAGTGGTGTTTTTTTTTTTTTAAGAAATTAATACTTTTATTCAACAAGGATGCTTTAAGTTGATCAAAAGACATTTAACACAGTAAAGACATTTCAAATGTTACATAAAGGTTTGTATTTCAAATAAATGGTGTTCTTTGGAGCTCTAAGAATCATTAAAAAAAAGCATGAATATCAGAAATATTAAGTAGCACAACATTTTCAACATTGATTATAAGAAGAAATGTTTCTCAAGCATCAAATCAGCATATTAGAATGATTTCTAAAGGATCATGTGACACTGAGTAATGGCTGAAAATGAAAATTAATTTTGCCATCACAGAAATAAACTACATTACAAAACATATATTTCAAATTGTAATAATATTTTACAATATTACATTTTACTGCATTTTGTTATCAAATAAGTGAGAATAAGAGACTTTCACAAACATGAAAAAACACTTACTGACCACAAACATTTTTTTATATGGAAATAGGCTATACGTAATTTGTTTTGCAAATTTTAAAACACACAGAGTATGTTGTGAAGGTCAGATTGCCCATATGTTTACTGCTTGAATCTTTTTCTCATTTTTTTCTCAGGCTGTATGTTGCACAGATGGGGAACACTGTTGTCCGGCTAACTATGAGTGTGATGTGACCAGGGTGTCTTGCATCAGGGGAAATGTGGTGATCCCCTGGTACAATAAAATTTCTGCTCAAAGCACACCGGCTCCAAGCTTGGATCTCGGCACTGTTGAGTGCGACGAGCAGTCGAGTTGCTCTGCAGATTCCACCTGCTGCCATCTGTCCACGGGAGAATGGGGCTGCTGCCCTCTTCCTGAGGTAAGAATATGTGTATATGGACTGGCTACAGAAAATCTATTCACGTTCAATAGATTTAATGCACCTCTTATATGCCATAGGCTGTTTGCTGCCCAGACCAGGAGCACTGCTGTCCCAAAGGCTACAGGTGTGACCTGCGCAGACGCTCCTGCATAAAAACCACCTGGCTGCATGTGGAAATAGTCCCACTTGTCCACATTGATGACCAAAAGCCACAGTCGAGTGTCTCAGAAAAGGACATTCAGTGTGGAGGTGGATATAGTTGCAAAGATAGTGAGACCTGTTGTCCAACCTCCCAGACCACCTGGGGCTGTTGCCCATCTCCAAAGGTAATGCATTAAACCTTAAAAGTTTTTTTTAAAACCTTCACCCTTCAAACATTTATCTTTCCCATTAGCAAAGTTATTTTTGTATTATTTTAAGCATAAAACGAGAAGAAAAACACTTTAAAATAATTTTGAATCAAAAGGCAAGCACATACCTACTTGAAACTAGTTGCCTATCTTCAAAGGTAAAGTATTAAACCATCATTTACTCACCCCCACGTTGTTCCATGGGTTCTTTCAGCTTTGGAAAACAAAAGGACACATTTTGGTTCTATATTTTTTGTCCATACAATAAAAACCATTGGGGTCTAATGTTGTTCTGAACACCAATGAGTTTCATTATATGCACACAAACAGTTGAAACAGATCTTTTTTTAATAGTACAGGTTTAATTGTACAAAATTCATTTGAAGAAGTTAAAGGTGGGGTAAGCGATTTCTGGTAGCCAATGTTGACATTTGAAATCACCAAAACAAACATGCCCCTACCCCAAAAAGGTATCGCCCCTATTTTGATAGCTCCGCCCCACACATACGTACGCAACCCAGGCAACGATTAGTTCTGTGAAACAAAGCAAAACCAATGTTCCACCGTGTCTACACCGGACGTGAGTGGCGCGGCGCGACAAAATACTATACAACTCATTATAATCAGTGATGCTGTCCACACCATAGATATATATATATATATATATATACATATCTATGGTCTACACTGGATGCGGTGCAGCACGACACGACAAATCCCCGACAGAAAACGTTCCATTCATGACGTATTGACACAAATTTCAAATGATTTTCAACGGTCGCTTTGTCGCGTCCAGTGTACTAGACAGACTTTAGCTGTCGCGTCCGGTGTAGACATGGTGTTACTCACCTATCGAGAAGAAACAAAGCAACCTCAGCGTCCGATCGCAGGCCTTCCGCTCCTTGAGTTCTCTCCAGCGCTGGAAAGCTGATCCGATATTTACACGGGTCCTACTTCTTGCCTTAAGCCTTCTTTTGTTTCCGCAGACGTTTTCCTCTTTTGTTTTTTATCCACCATCTCTATCTTTCTGTCGCTCGGCTCGGCTAATGTCCGTCCTGTGCACTGAGCACTCTCTCCTCCACATCATGAGTAGACACGCCCCTTACTGCTGATTGGCTACAAGTTTGTTTTGCTAGTCGGCCGAATCAGTTTTCTAAAGAGTTTTTGAAAAATCGCTTACCCCACCTTTAATGGGTTAAATATGTCAATTTAGAGTTCCAGTGCATAATAGTTGGATGGAAGAATGAATTTCCTTTGAATATATTCATGGAAATGAGCACACTGTCTTGTGATTTCAGTTCTATTGACTTTTCTGTAAATTCAAATGCAGGTCAAATTGTAAATGTTTATCTATTCTTGTCCTTGTACTTTCTCTTACTCCTTTCTTTCCTTTGTTATCGCTCTCTCTAAAGGCCGAGTGCTGTAATGATATGAAACACTGCTGCCCTGCTGGATACAAATGTGGCGCGGGTGGAACTTGTACTTCAGCCGTAGGCTTTGACTGGAACAACTGGGACAACTGGAGGGTGTTCTTCTCCAAAAATAAACGAGCTATTACTCTGTAAAAAAACAACAAAAACACAAACACCTGGGTTATTCCCACTCAGTCGCTTAAATGGCCAACACTCCCTAAAGTGTCAGATTTAAAAAAATGATACATTTTTAAGTACTAATCAAAGCTAATCAGACAGTTCAATTTATTTGCAGTTTCATTAGGGCTGACTATGATGGTTAATATCTGTTTCCATTGTCTATCAGTAATACCAACTAAATCTTATCCACTGAGCCATTTGTACATTTTAAGAATGGGTCATTATTGTAAAGTGTACATTGTTCATAGTTGTGCATAGTTTCCAGTGTTTTGGTTACTGCTCAGTTTTATCTGAAGAATAATTTGACTGGAATGGTGGAAAGATGTAACACATATTGAAGCATAGATGACCTCTAGTGGCTGGATTTAATTCATTAAAACGTGGCATGTACAAATACCACAGGCCTCAAAGGTTCACAGGTTACATTTTATCAGACTTGACATCATGCAGTCTTGGGATTATGACCGCATTGCCCTGGATAAGGAAACATATTAGATTAATCTTTTCAGATAACAAGCATCACCTTTTCTGTGTAACTTCCTTATTGCAGGTCTTGATCTTTACCATGATTTGTATAATTGTCTTTTTTTTTTTTTAAATGCTGGTTATATTGATTGAGCATTGTGACAGATGACAAAAAGTTTTCTGAAGTAAAAATGTGACCAATCTGAAACCTTGTCAGCTCTAAAAGAGAAATAAAAGCGAGATAAAAGGAAATTGTATTGTCTATTGTACATTTATTTTCTCTTTCAAATGTATCCAAAATAAAACATATTCCATTTATTTTAAATTTATATAAATGTATTACAATAGTTAAAAAATTTTATTTATTTTGCATTTTATTAAAATATATAATAATTACAAATATGAAGGAAAATACCATGTCCATTTTTATTTCAAAATCAAGGTTAGTTATAATTAAGTTAGAAATTGTAGGTGCTGTGACTGATCAACCAGTTTTTCACTATTTATTTCATGTTTCAGGTCACCTTTTGTGGGGAATGTAATTTTTTTAAGTAAAAACAAATCATAATTTAGTCTTTCATACACTTTGTCTTTAAAAACAGCTTGTAGGCTATAATTTTCTAGGTAATTAGAGAAAGAAAGAAAGAAAGAAAAAGAACAGACCAGCCTAAGCTTATTTGTTAGTTTCTTTCTTGGTTAGAGACAAGCCAAGACCAGTTAACCAGAATTTAGAGACAAGCTAAGACCAGTACACCAGAATTTAGGTTGATTCCTTTGCAGAGTAATAAGAAAGAATCCGGAAAATACAGAGAGTAAAAAAAAAACTGGAAGGACAGCAACTATAGCAGGCAGAGGGCAGCAGAGCTCCCATATAACTGACCAAAGAACCCTTCAACTGTTGCTGCAGTTGGGATCTACCAAATCAACCTGGTGCGTTTCCCAAAGGCAACTATTGTCGCAAGTTCATTTGTTACCAATATAGTTCAGTTGGCAAACAATGCTTTTGGAAAACACAGCCCTGGTCGATGGTGCCATGATGATGGCAGTAATAAAAATCTCTGCTGGGTCAGAACAGTCAAAGGTGTGTTTGGCACGCAGTTCAACCCACTGACACTTTGGGCGTAGCATTCAAACAAACACACAGAGAATGGGAGGAAGAGTAAATATGGACAGAAACGCTCAACAAACTAGAGCCCTCGATTTAACTGTGCGTTTATCTGACGTCATGACGCACTGACGTAAATATCCTGCCCACGCATTCGTTGATACATAGAACATATTGGTAGAACGGCACGTTCGTTGGAACTCTGGTGCGTTGGTTCCATATTACCTCAAGATCTCAGTCGTTTCGATTACGTTGCCATGTTTTCTGAAGACGTAAGTGTTACACTGCTCTGCACCTGCTAAAGCAGCGGCTGCGTATATTCTGAATTCACGCTAAACAGCTGCGCATCAATTAAGTTGGTCGAGGTTGTTCTCGGTTAAAGGACAGCCAGGCTGTCTTCCTCAACTATCAATCACATGTCGACGGAGGATCTGTCCACTTCCGACAGCGAAGCTGCCTTCGCGGGAGCCGGGGAGCGCTGGGCGCCGGTGGGAGCCGTGGCCAACCCGGAGGATGAGCAGTGCAAGCGGGGCACGCAGGCTGGCTCTGTGTCGTCCAGCGATGCAGACCTGGTATCCAGGCTGAGGAAGCTGGAGGATGAGCAGGAGCAGCTGAACTCGTCGCTCCTCGCGTTAACGTCTCACTTCGCTCAAGTGCAGTTTCGGCTGAAACAGATCGTCCACGCGCAGAGCGACGAGAAAGAGAGGATGCTGCTGGAGCTGGAGGAGTTTGCCTTCAAAGGATGCCCTCATGTCATAGGCTGCAGGGCACATGATGCTCAGATGCTGGAAAACTCTGTGAGTTCCGTTGTTTTCTGTCGTAGTGATCTCTACCCTGCAGGAAAGAAAAGCATAGTAAACCAAACCAAGATCTCCTAAAACCCAAGACCTGGTCTCTCAGTCTGGGCAGAGTCAGACTAGTCTTTTGAAGGGGGTTGGGCGCTGTGAAACCAGCTGGCAAGCCAGATAAATACCAGCTTGGCCAGTTTAAGTTAGCTCAGACCCAAATCTCAAATATGACTCAAAACAAGTGCTTTGTAGGAGAATGGCATGAAACCGTCTCAATTACATGTGATCTACATCAGGGCTTTTCAATATTTTAGACACCACAGGCCCCAAATCTGATCATCCTCATGTGAGGGACCCCATCCTATAATTTAGAAGACATTACATAGTTATTTTATACAAAAACCCAAATTACACTGTGGACAAATTATTATTTGGAAAATATTTACACTCTGTTGAGTTACATTATTACTTTTTTCCTCCTCATTATAGCACTGTACTGTTAGTATTATTTATTTGCTTATTTTGGTCACATTTTTTATTCTATTTAATTTTTATTTATTTATAGTAATCTTATTTTTATTGTATATTATTTATTTATTTTTTATTAAAACAAACAAACTTTTCATTGGACCCCAATTTGAAAACCTCTGATCTACAGTGTCATCAGTGTTGTTTTTTTTCAGTAAGCCTTCTTCAATAGTCCGCAACAATTCCTGTAACAATATGCACCCGTGATACACCCACCCATAATTACACACACCCCTTTCATTCACACATGATCAGCCTATACAATATCCCTGTGATGCCCTCAGGAATCAGCATTAAATTTGTCTGCATCTCTTTTGTTTAAAGGCTTGTTTCTGTGTCATTCAAGCAACTAATCAACTCCCTCTTAAAAATAATCAACATAGTATTGACATAAAAATCACTTTAAACAATATACAAGGAGGTCACTTAGTTTTCCCCGGTATTTCTTCCTGCTGGAGCATCTTGTTACTGCCATTAAAATGCATTCCTTTCTTCTTATTTCCTCCTCTGCACTCTTTGCTTGCAGGATGAATTGGTGAGTACTATGAACATGACCCTTGTGCAGTCTTTCCTTAAACTTCAGTCTTTACTTTAAGTATTCCTGATATGATTGAGTTCATACTTGATTTGGTTTTATTCGGTCTCTTTTTCCTTTGTATATTAATCAGTTACGTTTTTGTTCCCCAGAGGCTTAAATGTAAAATAATTAAACTATAACTGTGTTATGTGTGTGTGTGTGAGTATAGCAATTCTGAATTGCTTCGCATTGGATAAGCAAAGCTAAACCAAATGAAGCAAACTAATTCAAAGCTCATTATCCTTCACCAGAGCATATGCAAAAATGGTCAGCTAGCTACAACGTAAACACTGTGGATATTTTTAAGTTTGGCTTTAGGTTTTTAAAGTTTCTTTGACTCTTGTGTTTGTGTTTTTATAATATGCAGAGTGAAAGAGAGAAGCGGGAGCGCTTGGAAGCTCAGAGAAAGAAGCAGAAGGAGCTGATTTTCCAGCTGAAGACTCAACTCGACGACCTGGAACGCTTCGCCTACCAGGAGGGCAGCTATGACTCACTGCCTCAGTCTGTGGTCATGGAGAGACAGAGGGTCCGTCTAATAATACGCTCTCATGCTGTTGACATCATTCTGAAAGTCATTTGAAGATGTATTGGTCTAAGTAATTACCCTTAAAACCATTGTTGGGGTATTTTATTTAGTGTCTGTCCACCTCAATACTGTAGGTGATCATTGATGAGCTGATTAAGAAGCTGGATGTGAATCTGAATGAAGACATTGGGAACCTCACTCCAGAGGAGCTCCGACAGAGAGTGGACGCCGCTATAGCTCAGATAGTCAACCCGGCTCGAGTCAAAGAGCAGCTGGTTGAGCAGCTCAAGACACAAATCAGAGACCTGGAGATGTTCATTAACTTCATACAGGGTGAGGAGGTCTGCTTATGGGTCAGTGTTGTGAATGCCATTTTTGTCATATTTAGTCAAATACACATTAACATTCAAAAGTTTGGAGTCAAGATAATTTTTTTTAAGTCTTATTCTCACCAAGGCTGCATTTATTTGATCAAATACAGTAAATGTGATGTTATTGCAATTTAACAATTACTGTTTTTTAATTAAATTTTAAAACGGATGCATGTTTTCAGGATTCTTTATTAAATAGTGAGGTTTTTTTGCGCAATTTAATGCATATTTGCTAAATTAAAATATCATATATCAATAATAATAATTAAAAAAATATTACTAACCCCAGACCTTTGAACAGTAGTGAATATCATTAAGCTTTATGCCACTATCTGCAGAGCCCACTCCACTGATTTCCTGTGCTTTAAGTTTGACGTGGCTATTTGGAGCAACATAAATACAATTAGATTACCATCCTGATCTTGCTCCTCTCAGATGAAGTGGGGAACCCTCTGTTAAATGATGGTGTGAAGAGCCAGCAGGCCCGTGCTGCCGGCCCAAACACTGGAGCCACTGGAGGGATGAAGCGAGGTAATTATACTTCACTTCATAATACTTTTATATTTGCTTTTCAGCTCAGACGTGTAACTTTAAATCCCTTCTCTCTGTCCAAAGTGGATCCCGAACAGGCCCAGAGGATGCGGGAAACCGGGCTTCAGCTGATCCAGAAAGCCTTAGCGGTGCTGCAGATCTTTGCGCTGAGTCAGTTCGGATGCGCCGCAGGTCACGTGCCCCAGAACGTGTGGTCTCAGGGTGGCGAGGCTCAAGATTACGGCCCCCTGCTCCAGAAACTCGAAGGAGCCGTGGAGCGTGTACGTCTTCAAGCCTCCCGCCAGCAGCCCAGTTCTCAGGACGAACACGTGGTCAGCTACTCTGCCTGCCTGACGCCTGGAGGACCTCGGGACGAACTCACCGCTTCTGTGCGTAAAGAACTGGCCTTGGCGCTCCGGGACCTGCTGGCCCACGGACTGTACGCTCCTTCTCAAGGCATGAGCCTGGTGCTCGCCCCCATTTCCTGCCTGCTGCCCTTCAGCTCTTCTCCCCAGACCCTGCATCCCTGGGAACTTTTCATCAAGTACTATCATTCCAAAAACGGCCAGGCTTTTGTGGAATCGCCCGCCCGCCAGCTCTCTCAATCCTTCAGTTTACCTGTAGGGGGCGGTCCTGTGACGGTCACGCCCAAGCAGTCTCTGTTATGGGCCATCCATATGGTTCTTAGAGAGCATGGGCGATTCAAGCGCAGCGCGGACTCTGAGTTTAAGGCCTTGTTGTGCATGGCGCTCAATGAGCAGAGGCTTGTGTCCTGGCTCAACCTGCTGTGTAAGTCTGGGACGCTCATCCACTCACACTACC